GGCAAGCGACAAAGCTGGACAGGACAAGGAAGTCGATGGACCCGGAGGCAGCACGTTGGCAGGAGTACCGTCTATGAATCCTTGCACCGTGGTTGGCAACAACACAGCAACAGAGTGTTTATGATATTTTACAATAGCTTGGACTGCGTGAACCAGAGGGTTTACAGCAACGATTACACACTGCTTGTTTAGTTCATTAATATTTTTGCAGGCCCTGGATATGTGCTTATTGTGATATATGTTCCAATAAGTATTGGAGTGTTGTTCAAAGGAACAAGGGCACAGAACATTTGTTGTGTTTTTGTTGTAATACTGAAGTGTAACTTGAACTAACATTAGATAAGTAGTTTTCAGAATTTTTAAGTTATTGTGTTAGATAAGAGATTGTTAATTAATGTAGAATCATTAACAGCTGTTGTGGAGCAAATGTTTTGATTTCTAAATCATGGCATGTCATAAGTTGCCAATGGAAAGAGGTCAAACAAGCATGGTCTTGGCAGCAATACTATCACTCTTATTGGCACTTCCAAAGATAGAGGGATACATCTATCAGATAGATCCTTGACAAAATATGTGGATAACATGGGCCAATCAGACTGGGCAAAAGGAATTCTGTTTGTCTTTAGCTACACCAGGAGATCCATTTCGTACATGTTTAATTGGCTTTCCGAATGTACGAGTCAAAGAATACAATGAGTGGATCAATGTGTCTGATCTAAATAGAACTATGGCATCACTATTAAAGAAAAAGAAAAAATCAGGAGAGTGCTTGTAGACGTGGCCAACAATGAAGGGAGCTTATTTGCAGAAAGTGATTGTAGAAAAGCTAAATCACAGCAGTCAGTTACCTTTGCTAGAGTTACAACTAATGGGATCAGTTCCTCCATTCGAAATAGATAATGTGACTGGATTGCCAAATTGTGCAGACATAGTGCCCCATTTACAACCTTATAATGGCACTGGAGGTATTTCTTTTGGAGATCCCCGATCTGAATGGTTGATCAAGCAAAGAGACATGCGTGCTCTGCAAATTTTAGTTCAATAGCAAAATGTGACAGGTCATCAAGGATACTGGTCAAAAGTTAAGACAGGTTATGTTGTAGCAAATACGACCGGAAACTTTTTGTTGCCTCATTGTTGCCACCAGGAAACTTTTTAATATGCAAAGATCGAGCATGGAATGGTATTCCTTTCAAGCATGGAATGGTATTCCTTATCGCCCCATAGGAGGTCCTTGTTATCTGGGAAAACTAACCTTAATTGCACCTCAAATGAGGGCATGGATTGATTACACCCAGTCAAAAGAGCACAATAGAGCAAAAAGGGAAATTAAGCATTTTGATGAACACTGTAGAAATGAGGTAAACCTCGAACGAACGGCATCTTTTGTCGCTTTGGCTTTCTTTGTGCCTGGAGGTGCTGCAGCACATAATTACAATCAGTTGAAAAGATTAGCTTGCTGGAGCTTGAAAGAGTTTAACATTACTTCACGTATCATTTCAGAGCTCCTTCCTGATGTAGATAGCATTAGACATGCTGCACTACAGAATCACGCCGCAATTGATTTTCTGTTGCTAGCACAAGGACATGGATGCGAGGAATTTTATGGAATGTGTTGTATGAATTTGTCAGATCAGTCACAGAGTATAAACAAACAGCTGTCTGACCTTCGGCAACGGTTTAACAAAATTTCATACAATACTGACCCCTTTTCAGAATGGCTCAATTCACTGAACCTTAGGCCTTAGCTAACAGCATTGATAAAATGAGTAATGCCAGTTTTGCTAACTTTAGTAGGATTTTGTGTAATTTTGCCTTGTGTAACGTACTGTCTACGGTTGTCACCGAAACGCAGTATGTCTATTATGTTTAAAAGAAAAAGGGGAGATGTTGGGGCCTACTACATAGAAACTTGGTGAAAGAGTACAGGTCAATGAGCAACCGAAAGTGCTGAGGCAGATAGTTATGAAACTACTGAAGACAATGCAGCCTTTAGGAGCATCTCAGATAGGAAAGTAGGCCAAGAGAAAATAGGAGATTTGACGCTGTGCACAAGAGCCTATCAGAGTAGCTAGTTAGGTGCGTGTTCGCCGCGTGGATAGTAGCGTGTAAACAATCATGTAGTGCATGGACGGGGTATCTGACCAATCATGTAACACTTAACTCATGCTGTACACGAGTAAGGAACTAACTATAATATATAAGTAGCCTTCTGAATGGAATAAACTTGGCGTTACAGAGGATCATATTGGTGTGCTGTTCGTCTGGCTTGCATGGATTCCCCACACTTGAGTGAATCCCAATATTCCTATTGGCTTCATTTGTGGTACAGATTTCGAAAGCAGACAGTTCTCTTTTGCTCGCAGACCGAAGGCTGACATAAGGCAATATCATTTGATTGCCTGCCCCAGAGTAATACACCTAAGGATCTGAGCTAGAGCGCACAAAATGGGCTTGATTGAAGCACAAAATTCTTATGAGCTTCTTTTGTGGCCAAGCTTAAAAAGAGTAGACAGTTATGTCTTGCTCTCTGAGTGAAGCTTCTAGGAAGGAAAGCTCAACTGATGGTCAGACTCAGAGTTCCTAAAATTCAGGATCTGAGCTAGAGCACACCAAATATGCTTGAGTGAATCCCAAAATTCTTATTGGCTACGTTTGTGGTACAGATTGTGAAAGCAGACAGTTCTCTTTTGCTCGCAGAGCGAAGGCTGACATAAGGCAATATCATCCGATTGCCTGTCCCAGAGCAATTCACCTAAGGATCTCCGCTCAGAAGGGATAAGGGCTTTAAATGCCTTCAGGTGTCTGGGCTGTAGGCAAATGAACAGATTAAAAACCAAATGTGACGTTTTTTAATTGAGCAGTAGCAGCTAGATGCAGGGGAAAGAAGCAAGGAAACACATGAGCATCTGATCTTGATGTTTGAAGAGTTGGGAAATGTGCAGACAGGAGCACTAATAGGGCACGTCCCCCAAACCGTTCTATTGAATCTGCTTGGCTTGGCAGATTCAGAAACATTTGCCTTCTGTGACACGTGTGCACTCCCACCACTGGTCCCAGCCCGTGGCCTTGCTGAAGGAAATCCTTCCACAACAGCACACAAAGCTCTTTTCTTCCTTCTGAGTGGGCCAAGATAAAGAGCTTTTTCACTCTTACCTCCACTACCAGAGTGTGAGCTGAACAGCAGAACTGGGTGTCAGAATGAGAATGAAAGGGGAGTTTTCTCCTGATGTCAGCACCCAAAAACTTTAAAATAGTTCTCTGGATTGCTGGGGACCCCTGTGCTCAGAGATTTTCTTCCACCTGGAGATTCAGCCATGATCCCTCAGAGGAACCTGCCATTCTTTATCTTCCTCGGTTTCCGTGCAGGGTGTAGCACGTCACCGTAGGGAATCTGCACCACGATGGGAGCCCCCAGTGTCAGGTGAAAATAATCATTAAAATCCCAAGAGGAGCTGTGTCTCCGAGCTGTGTTCTCTGTTCACAGAACATACCAATGGCCACGGATTTCATGTGAAAGAATTAGTAGAAAGCTTCGCTTCAAACAGGGCATTACAAGCTTGACACATTTCTTGTAATTTTAGTTTCTAAAGCCTCTGCACCGCTACTCTTGAACACTAACAGGTGTTTTCTCTGTATTTGCAGGTCTATCCTCACTTAAACTGGAGAATAAAGAGGGTCTCTGCTTTCTAAGCAGACAGGCAGACGTACAGTCTGAAGGGTTCTCACTTTAGAAGCTAATTAGAGTTATTATAACACCACTACTTTCTGAAATAGGCATTAGAGGATTCCTATTTCTGCAGCAACATGGACACAGCTGCTCTAGTGAAGTGCCTTCTCGGTGCAGGAAGCACAACAATCTGTTCTGAGCGCATTTATGCACCTGATTTTAGTGCAGTTGTGGCTCAAGCTACACAAAGTTCCATCAATGGCTCCATGGCCCATTGCAGACCAATGGAGAGAGCTGTTCCCCAGGGCCAGCACTGAGACCGGGGCTGTTCAACATCTGTGTTGGCAACAGGGACAGTGGAAGTGAGGGCACCCTCAGCAAGTTCACCAGTCACAATCTGTGTGGTGCGATTGACTTGCTGGAGGGAAGGGGTGTCATCCCAAGCGACCTGGACAGGCTGGAGAGGTGGGGCCGTGCCAACGTCGTGAGGTTCAACAAGGCCCCAGGGGCAGGGTCCTGCCCCTGGGTCGGGGTAGTCCCAAGCACAGACACAGGCTGGGCGACGAGGGGATGGGGAGCAGCCCTGCGCAGAAGGACTCGGGGTGCTGGGGGTGAAGAACAGCCCATGAGCCCGCAACGGCCGCTCACAGCCCGTAAAGACAATCGCACCCTGGGCTGAGCAGGGTAGATTTAGATTAGATATTAGAAAGTTGTTCTTTACTAGGAGAAAAGTTGCCTGGAGAAGTTGTGGCAGCCCCCTCCCTGGAAGTGTCCCAGGCCAGGGTGGATGGGATTTGGAACAACCTGGTCTGGTGGGAGGTGTCCCTGCCCAAGACAGGGGGTTAGAACTAGATCTTAAAGGTCCCTTCAAACCCAAACCATTTTAAAAACAGAATTAAAGGAGAAAACAGCAGAGCAGGGAAGAGCAACGATGGAGAAGCAAAGCCCAGTTTGAAATTTCTCTTCCAGCCGGTTCCTGTTGGCTGTTGTCGATCACCCATCAAAGGCTACCAAGTACCAGCACTGAGGTGGGAGCCAGGGTACCTTTAGCTACAGTATTTATTTGGGGTTTACCTGATGTTTAATGTTCACATTTTTGATAATGGACACTTTCCTGATTGCTTAATTTTGGGGTGGTCCGTTGCAGTAACACCTTGTTCCTCTGAGACTCCAAGCCTCATTTCCCTTTGAGTTCAGGGCAGTGAATGCTCATTGCTTCTCTTGGCCAGAATTACAGGTACCCGGTGGTAAAAATAATCTGTACGGAGGGGCCTGAAGATTTGCGCAGGAAAACTAGGACAGGGCTAATTGTTGGTCTCACTCTAACTATTCTTGGAAGGGAGGGAGCACAGCTAGGTGCAAAATTTCAGTTTGTGACCAAAGCAATTGATGAGACACTGACCTTTATTTGTAAAATAAATTGTCCTATATGGAGTGTAAATGGAATTCTACTAATTCAAGTGCTGCCCACTTATCTCCCCAACCGCCTTTATTTTTAACTCTCTGTAGAGCAAAAACACAAATGAGAAACCCCAAATGAAACCGACTGAGGATCAAAAAGATCAAAAACTGTCAAAGAAATGGGAGGCTGTCATTAAGGATCAAAAATGGACGAGGAAATGGGAGCCTGTGAGGAACCCAAAAATAGAGCGACAGCTTCCTGGAGAGCTTTACGCTGACAAGGTCTTCCTAGAAAAGTTGCTCAAGGATAAAGGTCTTTCTCCATTGTATCTAATTAAATTTTCCTTCTAAGCAGGTTCTTTTTCAACCCTGTGACTACTTTTCCTCGTTCATATCGGAGCTCGCACAGCACACTGGGCTGCAGCGGTCAGGAGAGAGGCAGGTGTCTGGAGTGTACACGTATTTTTGGAGACAGATTTAATAGCCCGAATTATATGCGTATTTCCTTCCCTATTAAATGTGAGGCTTTTGTAACAAACAGTAAATCAACTCCGAGCAAGACACTTGCACTAAGTGCAAAGCATTGCTCAGATTACCGTAGCTCATTCGAGGTTTCATTAAAAATGCTGTTGAGATGAAGATGCAGGATTCAGAGAAGTGTCTTTTTTTTGGAACTAGACAGAAAGGAGATTCCCATTTGGCCATTTTTCTAGGGATGTCTTTACCCAGTAATAGGGAAGTAATTAAGAATTTAGTCTGCTTACAGGTTTTGTGATATCACTAGCATCAATAATAGATGCGGGCTGTCTGGTTTCCAAGCGTGTAAAAGCCTCAGTTTTCATCACGCAGCACTTCCCAAAGAGCCAGTTTGGTGCAAAAGCCCGGGCAGAGGACAGGCGTTCGCTTGCCACAGCCTCCCCATCCCTTGGGGCCCTGCCTGGCTCTTGTCAGCAGAGAAAGCAGCAGCCACGGGGGCTGGGACCAGCAGCTCTGGTTCCCTGAACCACACGCAGCGGGGAAGAGCCTGGGAGTTTTCCAGAACTTCCTTCCTCACTGCGTCAGTTCTGAGGAACGCTGAAGACTTTCATTTCTAGGACTACCTGTCAGAGCAGAAAAACCTTCACAGGCGGCAGTCCCTTGCTGAACTGCAGCTTCGTTCCGTCGTACACATTCACACTCTCCTGGGTTCTGTCGTCTTGTTTTCTGATTTGATGGAGAGCCGCACAAAGCAGGGAACCAAAGTCGCGGACCTGGTTTTGAGTGGCCTTTCCTACCTGGACACACGCAGGGAATTCTGGCAACAGCAGAATCCTATTTCTGCCCGTGTGAGAGAGCGTAAGCTCAGGCAGCAAAGACGGATCCAGGCCAAGACAAAAAAAGCAGCTGAGGTTCGCCGGTACATCGCAAAGAGCATGAAGGAAATCAAGATGTGTAGGTGTCCTGGCTGAGGGCTCTAAACAAGTCGTGGGCACACATCATTATTTACTGTGGTCATTACAGCCCAGAACAACAAAAGCAGAGCAGGGACTAACAAGCAGTAGGAGCAGTTTGGGGAAAGTATTTGCTTTTGTATTCTTTCACCTTTCCCAACACTTAATTGCATACAGAATTCAACACATTTTTTTTCTCAGCTTTTTCTGTACTTGAGGTTTTGCTGTTTGTTTTCAGGACACAGCTTAGACCAAAGTCAGGCAGGCCTGTGTCTAAGCTGCTGCATGCTTAGTAAATGCCTCTGGTCTCCTCATCTGAAGTTATTTTCCTGAGAGAATGCAGGTCACCAGAGTTAGTCATTTCTATCATTCAAAAATACTGTTGTAGAGAGATGAAGCAGCTGAAAAACAGTGATCTGGAAGGAAGGAGTAATTCAGTCACTTGTGATCTCTTTCTCTCTTCCCGTGCTGCAGACTTGCAACCCGGGGAGAAGAATTTAGTTGTGAGCACAATTCAGTTCTTTTAAGCTACATCCACTGAGAGAGGGTAGTGTTAGAAACCTTCTGCAGTCCTGTTTCCACGGCGCTGTCGCCCAGGAGGGCGTGGGGAACAGAGCTCCCCAGGAAGGTGCGAGAGGCTCATTTAGGACTTGAAAACCTGAGTACTGTAGCTAGAACTTCATCTCCGAGACCAGGCTGCCCTGCTGCAACAACTACGAGATTTCAAAACCTTCAGACAACAGCCATCATTCTCCTTTGTTTAAATTTGGCGAGTGTGGGGTGTCACCAGCATCATCTCCCCTTTGCTTAATGGGATAAAAGTGATTCTCAGTCGTGCTGGAGGAGGGTCAGAAGTGTCACCTCCCAGGGGCACTTGGAGATTGGAGGGAGGGCTGTAGGAGATGCACAAAGAGTTTGGAGCTCTCACCTTTTCCCCAGCTTTGACTAAGACTTACGCACCTGCACTTGGTCTTACTTCCCCAACATCTCTGTGTCTGTGCATGTGAATTAAACTTTGTGCTTTGTCTCTAGTGCTGAGCAGCGGCTTCCCTGAGGACAGCTGCAAGAAAGCTGAGAGGATGCTGAAAACGGTACAAGGGTGGTCAGAGGATGAACTTCCCAGCAAGAGCGAACTGATCAGAAACCTCCACAGCTGCATTGGGAGCGCTCGGTTAGAGATGGGCCAGACAGAGGCCTCTGCGGAGCCATAAAACGGATCTGGAAGTTGCCAGGCAGAGGTAAGTGTCGAGAAGTTCAGATGGATCAGGAAAAGAGGGAAGTATCTCTGTGGGGATGTTTTAGCGTCAGGTAATATCGTAATTCTCACCTGGACATTTACCAGGGTGACACGTTCGGATTCTGCCCAAGTATCGTGGTCTCTACTGGCTTCTTTTCATCATTATTTCAAAAACATGGAGCCTGCAGCACATTTTTAAAGGATCTTGACCACGTGGCACACCTAAATCTCTGCTGGAGCAAAGCAAAAGAGAGCGTAAGTCCCAGTCTGAGCACTTTAGCCGCTAGTATGTGCTTCCGTCTCGGGAAGGTCAGGCTCTAATTGTGATTTTTCTGCTACATTTTCTCTTTAGATGATTTGCATTCAAACTATGATAGCAGGCTTGAAATATTTATCTAGGAGATGTGGTTACCTGCCCATACAGAACACATTCTGCAGCTCTTTCAGCTAAAACAGAGCAGAGCAAAGCGTAGTCTTAGGATTCAGCAAGAGTTTTGCAAAGCACAGGAGAAAACACTGAAAGGTTGCTTGAAGTTACTTTGGGTTTATTTTTCTCAGTACTGCGTAGGGCTTTTAAAATGTAGCTGACACCATTTATCATTTGCACCAATCACTTTTAAAAATTCATACTGGTCTAAGAAATTCCTGCTTCTCCCCTGGTGATCTCCACACCCCAGGTGCACCAAATAAAGTTCAGAATGAGCAGAGGAGAGGCAGGAATGAGGTACGTGATTTCAGCCCTTTTTCAAAGGGCTGTGAAGTCACGTGGAATGGACAGAAGCGCAGCAATGCCCGGTGGGAGCCTGGTCCTCTGATGCCTTAGACAAAACTAAACCGCTTTCCCCCCGTGCTTTATGGAGTGTCAGCTGCAACCGCTGTAGGTGACATAAAAAACCTACCTTGATTTTATGACTTTCAGTCTGACGTTGGTCCTTTACCTCCATTTCTCAACACTCGGCCTGAAAAGTGGGCATCAGAGAAAATAGAGAAGACTGAAGAAAGTGCAGACTGTATCGGGAATGCAACTGTGTCAGCTACTGCTACTTCCTTTTCAATGCAGCAACCTGCCAGATGCCGAATCCAGAGCCCTTGGTAACATCGGCAGAGTTTATGCCAGGATCGGCAAATTCCAGCAGGCTACTGACAGGTATGTAAAATTAGTAACAGGAAAGGCACGAGGTTGTATTTTGAGTTAAACAGGGCATGTCTTTTCAATTTGTTAATTCATACTGCTAGCAACTGTGAAATTTTTCATAGCAGCAGTACCTGGAACCCTTTGTTGATAGAATCGGTGGTTGAAATTACAGCTGTGCCTGGTGAGATTCGGTAAATGTGTGCCTTTCTCACTCTGCTTGAAGTTGAGAGGAGAAGATTCCAATGGCAAAATCCAGCCTGGAGAAGACTTGGCTGTTCCATGAAATAGGCCGATGCTACCTCGAGCTGAATAAAGCTGAAGAAGCCCGAGGTTACGGACAGAAGGCCCTGCGGTCAGCGCATGAAGGGGGAGACGCCGAGTGGCAACTCCACATGACTGCGCTGGTGGCCCAGGCCTAAGGTAAAGGTGTGTGAGTAGGGAGCCCCTGCGGATCACAGGGACAGCTTTGTTTTCACACTGATCTCCTCCAGTCTCTGGCCTTTTACGTCCACTTGGACCGGCATCAGCTGAAGTACAGGAGATGCCAAACGGAGAAATAAAAGAGGGAATCTCGCCTCTGCAAGTGCTGGAAAAACCAAATACTTCCTGGGATTTAATATCTGGGGAAACTCAGAAAGACACTTCAGCAACTCCTCAGTCAGAGAGTTTTGTGTCCAGTGATCTGACACGTCCACTAAAACCAGAACTAATTCCACATGTTTCAAGCTGTTCCGTGGGTCTGTCTTGCTTGAACATTTCCTTAACCTATTGGCTTATTCAGGGAAATGCAGACTGGTCTATTTTTCTCTTAAAAATACAGCTTTTCAAAAAGGTAAACTTACTTTTAAAATCCTTTCTTTTTACAACTACAGATTCAGAAAGTCTGTAACAATCATATTTTTCTAAACTGCCGATTGCTTCTGTTGGGAGTGATATATACATACTTATTTTATTTTACAGATTTCCATGTAGTTTTGAAGTTTTTTTTTCATCTATATCCTCCTATTTCCTAGAACCGTCTCAAAAATCTGTGAGCCTCTGTATACTAACTCTATAAAACTGTATCAAAATGCAGCTGCATAAAAAAGACTGACTTAATTTTTTATTTAAATTGTTAGAGGCCACGCTCAGCACCTTAGTGACAGCAGCTCTACAGTTTAGCAACCCCAGTAACTGCTCATATTGAGGCGTCTTCTTGAAAGCTTCCTTTATTAGCTCTTGGTGTTCTCTTGATCTGGGGTTGAAAATAGATGTTTTCATTTGTCTCTTACAGTAAAATTAAAGGATTACCGGGCTGCAATCACCAACTTCGAAAAAGCACTTGAGAAGGCAAAGCAAGTTCACGACGGAGCTGCTCAGGCGACCATCCTTGGTGTGAGTGGCGTGTGGCAAAGGGGAGAGGGGCTCGGGGCAGCATCAAGGATTTAGCTGTAACTATTGTCGTCTTGTGTCCCGTTAATTGATAAAACGTCCTGACACTAGTGTGTTAAGAGAGGGGAAATGCAGCCTCTGGAGTAGTTTGCATGTTAAAAGTTAGGAAAGCTCAGAAAACTTATGCCCAGTTTATGGAGCAGTCCAACATATAAAAGGATGAAGCATGAGCCCTGCTCAGCTCAAGGGAGAATTTTTCGTTCGACCTTCCCGGGGCTACGAGGGTTTCACACAGAGAACCCGGCGGTGCCACCTCTGTGCTCAGTTGCTTTCAGCTGCTGATCCCAGCGCAGCCTTTCCTCTCCTCTCCAAAACATCCCAGAGAAGCTGCTTTGTGTCACACCACGAACAACCACCTGGGCAGGGCCGTGGCTGCCGGCAAAGCCATCCTCCTGTGCTGGGAGCAGCCCTCCCTCCTGGCAGCAGGCTGCTGGCTGCTGGCTTGCTGGGCACCGGTTACAGCTCAGGCACCTGCTGGGGTGCTGATCCCTCCTGGGCATCCAGAGGTCAGGCAGAGCCTGTTCTCCTGCCCGGAGAAAAAGGACAGTGTGAGAGAGCTGGGGAGCTTCAGAGGATGAGACATCTGGGCAGGGACACTGCACCGTCCTCTATCTCTCCCTGCCTTTCAGAGAGTTTGATGGTGGGAAAGGACCGAGTAGGAGCAAAGCTCAAAAGAAAAGAGCGGAAACTTTGGTATGTGACTGCATTTCTAGAGCTTTTATTACTAACCCTTATCACTTTCAGGCCTTAGATGATGTAAGCATAAGCTTCGTCAAAGAGCTGAACAAAAGACGAGAAGAAACAACAGCTGACTCTCTTAGAGGTAGGTGTCATTTAGACCTCTGCACCCCGTACATATAGAAATCCTCTGCATTCCTTTTCTGGAGTACAGACCATGGCATGGGAATGAAGCACCCCGTTCCCAGGGAGCAAGCAAATTTCTGAGCTGTGTTAGATCCCCGCAATACGCAGCAGCAGGAATGTGTACGGGAAGCCATAGTGCCGTTATAATTTGTGCCTTTGGTCGTTTGGTAGTAAGGCTTAATCTTGAGCTGGTGTAAACCAAAGAAAGTAACATCAGCAAAGCCTTGATAGCAGTGAAGGACCCTGGTTTCATTCTTGAGTGCTGTCCCTTAAAAACTGCTTTTAATAACACTGGAATCAGCTCCAGTTGCCCAGAATGCCGAACAAAATGTGACGGTAACAGCAACTGTGAATAAGCGAGATCTGCACCGTGGACGCCTTCAGAAACACCAGCTGCACCTTGGAGTCCACGTAGCACTGATGTCCTTGCAAGTCTTGAATTACGATCTCGGGAGAAGGGCTGCGCTCCTGCAGCCGCCCCCGCCTTGGCCGTACCCACCCTGGGGCTGAGTCGAGCCTGGGGAGGGGGGTGGCTGCATCTCCCAGACCCCAGGGCCTGCTCATCCTAGGGGGCAGAAAACAGAGAGGAGAGACGAGGGGTCTCTCTTTGCTTGTGCCCTGTGATTTCTCTGTGCTGGAACTTGGTTTGAGATGACTTTTTCCTCCCCAGTTTGTGATTCCAGCAGGGAGAATGCAGAAGGCGATGATTCCGAGAACTGCAGAGAGAAAGAGGGAAGTGAACAAAGTGCAGAGAATCAAGATGAGGAACAAGAAGAAGATGCCAGCAGCTGTAAAGAAGAAGATGGAAATGACAAAGACAAGGGGAAGGAACAGGAAATCAAAGAGAACCGGAGCTCCGCAGCTGCCATACGTGACTGGAAGGCAAATGGAAATGCTCAGCGATGGGGCAAGTTGACTGACTGTGCCGGTTTGTGCTCTTCGTGGTTTCTACGCCAGGCACAGGCTCAGCGCTTTGTCACGGGCAGACAGAAGGGCCTAGACAATTCCCAGTTTAGTGACTGGTGTGTACAAGTACCTCTGGATCTCAGATAGCCCCCAAAGATCTGGTGGATCACGGTAGCTTCTTCCAAAGGGACGTTCAAGCTGGAAACACATGGTGAGGCAGAGAGTTATCTCCTGCAGGACTTTTGTTTTGTCTGAGAGCCCTGGCCTTTGGCCTTCCTTGACGGGAGCACATCAGGGAGTGCCAAGGGCTCAGGAACACTGAGAAAGTAAATCTCTTGCGCTTACTTGGTGCTTTTCTGCAGACAGGCTCTCTGCATGGCATCTACGGCACAGCGGAGGAACTCGTGGGTGTCTTCCTGCCTGCCCAACTGGAAACATCCTATTCCTAAGAAAAGAGAAGTCAGTGATTCTCTCCAACAAGGACAGGAGGAAACACGCAAAAGCACCTGAAATGACGTACGTCGGAGGGCACGGTTGACAGCTGAAGGCAGGAGGACACCACCAGAGCAACGCAGGGCCATGCTGACGTGCGCTTCCATCACGCACAGCATGCAGATGTCTCGCTCGCCACCTGAACAGGGAGGGAGGGAAGATTCTCAGGTCAGCAAAATACCCACAGCAATGGGAAACCTAACGGAGATTGGGACATTATAAGGACAGTCTCCAGCCCTCTCCTCCCAAGGTGCCAATGTCCCCACAAGCCCAGGACATCTCAGCGCATAGAAACCTTTCTTGAGAGGGATGTGGAACTGACACAGCTTTTCTGTGTGATAAACAAAGCATTTAAAGCTGCAGGAACGGCAACTGAGGCCTGGGGACAGAAGGAGGAGCCTTTCTGAAGTTGAGCACCCCCAGATAACACGTGCAGCTTCTGGGCTGCAGTGGTCCCACAGCACCCGCTCGGGGGCTGACAGGGAAGGGCAGCTTTTCTCCTCAACCCAATTCCAGACGCTGGGACTCCTTGGGCAGTGCCCGGCAGATCCACAAGAGATGTGCACACAAGCACTCACACGACTGGCTGTGCTCCCCAGAGAGCAGGTAGCTGGCGAGAGGCGGTGTGGACGTCAGGCACCGGAGGACAGAGTTGAGGAAACACGTGTTGGCGGGGTTGTAGAGCCTTGCTCCAGCTGCCTGGCTCCATGTAGATCCACTCCATGTAGATCTTCTCTGGAGGAAAGAGGCTCCTTTCTAGCCCAGTCGTTCCCTCGGCAGTGACTGCAGGGAAACAACCTGTGAAAAGAGATGAGACAATATTGGAAAGTCAAGTTCTTTGCAGCAGCAGCCAAGACAAGCAGCGCTGAGCTCCAAGCCAGAAGCCTTGGGGGTGCCCAGTGCTGCCACTGGGACGGACTGGTCAGGAGTGTGCTTGGGGAAACAGTCTGTTCCCCTGCTTACTTGGCCCAAAGTCCCACAAACCCACACGCTGATGTCTGTGCCTCGGGCCAACTTCCTTTCCCTCCAGAGCCTTGAATTGGATTATCAGGTCTTTTTCTGATGGTGACTTGATGAAAACAAGGCAATGCCTGGCATAGAAGGTAGCCCTACCGATGTCGGACCTTCCCATGAGCAGTGTTGACTTTCAAAGCCTTGGCCATGGTGGCAGAGGAGCAACAAAATGCGTTTTCCTCTGTGTAATCGCCAGCTCCTGGGAGAGCCTGGCTGCTGCCGGGCATTGCCCCAGAATTCCCTCTGGGCTG